AGTGGGCCCCAGATGCCCAAGAGTTCCTTGAGACTCGGGGAGGTAAGCATGCTCTGCCCACATCTGAGTAAGCGGGCACTGATGGCCCTGAGAAGCCAGGCACTTCTTGCAAACCAGAACAAACGAATGAAAAATAATAATAATAAAAAAAGACAGTGGCAGTCTAAGAAACACAATTGATCAAAGAATCCCATCATATCCTTTCTTACTCACCTTATGTCCCTATGTTAGCAAAACAGATCCATTGAAAATGACAAAAGAGACCAGCCATGGTGGCTCACATCTGTAATCCCAGCACTTTGGGAGGCCAAGACAGGCAGATCACCTGAGATTGGGAGTTCGAGACCAGCCTGACTAACATGGAGAAATCCCGTCTCTACTAAAAATACAAAATTAGCCATGCGTGGTGATGCATGCCTGTAATCCCAGCTACTTGAGAGACTGAGGCAGGAGAATCACTTGAACCTGGAGGCAGAGGTTGCGGTGAGCCGAGATCACGCCACTGCGCTCCAGCCTGGGCAATAAGAGCGAAACTTTGTCTCAAAATAAATAAATAAATAAAATAAGAAAATGACAAGAGAAGGAAAGACAGAGCTAGGATGATACATAGCTCCTTGTCCTTTCAGTTAGCCTCAACGGAAGCCAAAGGTACAAAGGGTTGAGAAATGTGTGTTTATTACCAAGAGAAATAAAAAATGTGTGTGTATTACCAAGAAATAATAAAAAAGCAGGGTCAGTTTTGTACATCACTTTCACTGTTCTGAAATGAACGTATACACACACACACAAACACACACACAGGCTACAAAATAAAAATTCTGCAATTTTGGTGATTCTGCATAGGAGTTAAATGTTCTTCTATTTGCATTTAAAATGGCATTATACTAGTTAAAGATGAATTGTAAAACTTATGCTAATAATTTAAAATTTTAATTTTTCTTCACCTAGAATGACACTAAATAGCAAATAAAACAGTAAATAGCAAATAAAACCCACAAATTATGTAGCTAACTGTTTCTGACAGAAGACCTATAGAAATGAATATCCTATGTCTAAAAAACGTTCTGTGATCATAGATCTTACAATCAACACTGAAAGAGCTACTATATTAATGCCTTCCTCCAGTTTTCTTGGTTTCTGTGTGGGACTATCACATGGTGCCATACTGCTCTTTGGGGAAGGGGTGGTGGGTGGGGGCCACTAGCTGTGTGATCATGGACAAGCCTCTGTCTTCTCAACCTGCAAAAGGGAGATAGCATATATGTTGCCATTTATCAAAAGTTCCTGTAAAAGAATGCATATAAAGGTATTTTGGAAAACATAAAATGTTTTGTATGTATAGCGTGTTTTAGAATGTTTATTACTATTAAAAAACTACAAAGCAGGAATCATGAACACTGCTGTTTTTATTCCCTCTAATTTGTAAATTAACTTTGAAAGCATTCCTGCCAAATTTGCATAAATCCAAATTCATTTTTTTCTTTTAAACAAATTTGTCAACAACCATTTGGATGGTAGTGTGGAAACTCAATATGTCCACAGCTTTCTCCCACCTTGCAGTAATATAATATACATCAGTGTTTTTATAGGGTATAGGGGTTTGTCCAAAGTAATGAAGTTTTTTATTCCATAGAAAATAGCAGAATAAATATAAAGTTGTTTAAACAGTTTTCTATGATTAAACACTTGTCAAACCTGTGAATAAAGAAATGATAGGTCAGGGGCTGTAGTTCACACCTGTAATCCCAACACTTTGGGAGGCTGAGGTGGCAGATCACTTGAGGTCAGGAGTTCAGGACCAATCTGGCCAATATGGTAAAACCCTGTCTCTACTAAAAAAAAAAAAAAAAAGAAATTAAAAAAAAATTAGCCAGGTGTGATGGCTCATACCTGTAGTCCCAGATACTCAGAAGGCTGACGTGAGAGAAATTGCTTGAACCCAGGAGATGGAGGTTTCAGTGAGCCAAGATGGTGCCATTGCCTAACAATTAGAAAAATAAACCACTTGATATAGAAGATGAGTGAGTCATAATCACATAAGGCCCTATCATAACATGATCTACTGTTTTTATCATAAAGTTTAGATAACTTCTGGATTAAAGATGTGTCTCTCCAAATGTAACAGCTGCTCACAGGTAAAGTCTGATTAACCTGCTGAGACTACAGGGAATGTGCTAATCCTTTTTTTTTTTTTTTGAGATGGAGTTTCACTCTTGTTACCCAGGCTGGAGTGCAACGGCGCGATCTCCGCTCACTGCAACCTCCGCCTCCTGGGTTCAGGCAATTCTCCTGCCTCAGCCTCCTGAGTAGCTGGGATTACAGGCACGCGCCACCGTGCCCAGCTAATTTTTTTGTATTTTTAGTAGAGATGGGGTTTCACCATGTTGACCAGGATGGTCTCGATATCTTGACCTTGTGATCTACCCGCCTCGGCCTCCCAAAGTGCTGGGATTACAGGCGTGAGCCACTGCGCCCGGCCCGGAAAGTGCTAATCTTATCCTGTCAATGCTAACATCATGAATAAATAAAGGTCTCTATTATGTAATAAGAGCTTATAATAAATGACAGACTGACACAGTAGAATATTAATTGTAGTGAGAGACAAACACGTTCACCCTGTGACTTTGAGACAGTAACTTCCCTTAGCTTGAGACTCTGTTTCCCCATCTGTACTTGGGATGGAGTGAATCACGACTCTAAAGGGCCTCCCAGCACCAACATTCTGTGTTCTGATGGCTTTGATTTGACTCGGAAGCCTTAGTGCCACCTGAAGTCAGGTGATAAGGACACATGGGGACACCTGGCAGAGACAGGTTCCGTGTCCCAAGGTGATGCAGCAGATCTGGGGTTTGGGATGCCTGTTCTAAATCTAAATCCAACCTCTCCCTTGGCTGGATATCCTCTTTCCTAAAGGGGACTCATTATCCCGGAGTGGGAGGCTCTTTCCCTCTTTTCCCATGATTCAGAAGGGTGGGCTTCACTTTCTGTGTTCGTCTACCCATCTCCCCACCACGTCAGCATCAGCCCAGAGCCAGCGCAGCAGATGACTCCCAAGTGTTTGTTGAAGATTGACTTGAGGTTTCATACTTTATTACTTATTAAATTTCTCCTTCTAGACTTGCAAGCACTTTATTTATTTATTTATTTATTTATTTATTTATTTATTTATATATATTATGTTTGAGACAGAGTCTTGCACTCATGCCCAGGCTGGATTGCAATGGCACAGTCTTGTTCACTGCAACCTCTGCCTCCTGGGTTCAAGTGATTCTTCTGTCTTGGCCTCCCGAGTAGCTGAGATCACAGGTGTACACTACCACGCTGGGCTAATTTTTGTATTTTTAGTAGAGATGGCATTTTACCATGTTGGCCAGCTTGGTCTCAAACTCCTGACCTCAGGTAATCCACCTGAATCGGCCTCTCAAAGTGCTGGGATTATAGGCGTGAGCCACTGCCCCTGGCTGCAAGCACTTTAAAGACAGAGCCCTCATCAAACTCATCTCTCTCGCCCTATGGCTCCTTGTGTACCCACAAGGTCCAGCACACAGTGGGAGTTCAGTAGATGGGAATACACATATTTTGAGTAAGCTAAAAGGATGCCAATACCCATTTTGCTGAGATGGATATTCTTGCTCATGAAGACTCCCAGGATGCCCTAGATCAGTGTCAGTATGTGCCTTCTGCCCACCGGTGAGAGGAACAAGGATGCAACTTGTGCTGTCTGGGGAAGGTGAGGACAATAGCTAGAAACTGTCAAGTCCCAGAAACCCTTCCCAGTTTTGACTGAAGATGACACCTTTCATGACCTCAGTCTTTTCTTGCTTTGCAGTCTTGTTTAAAATGGCACTTGGAATATATCCTAATCCTGTGACTCAGAAATGGAAAACATTATCAGACTGTTCATAGCAGCTATATTCACGATACCCTCAAACTGGAAACAACGTAAACACACATCAACAGAAGAGTGGGTGGGCAAACTGTGTCTTGCTCTCCTAGAGAATACACTCAGCAATAAAAATGAGCGAACAACATGGGTGAATCTCAATAGCATCATCTAAATAAAAGGAACCAGACACAGAAGAGTACATACTGTATGATCCCATGCAAATGTAGTTCTAAAAACAGACAAAACTAATTGAGAGTGATAGAAATCAAAACAGCAATTGCCAGCTAGGTACAGAGGCTCATGCCTGGAATCCCAGCACTTTGGAAGGCTGAGGTGGGAGGAGTGCTTAAGGCCAGTAGTTAGAGACCCCATCTCTACAAAAAAAATACCGAAAAACTAAGTGGTGTGGTGGTGCACACCTATAGTCCTAGCTACTGGGGAGGCTGATGCAGGAGGATCACTTGGAACCCAGGAATTCCAGGTTGCAGTAAACTATGACCCTGATATTGCACTTCAGCTTGGGCAACAGAGTGAGAATCCGTCTCTTCAAAAAAAGAACACTGATTGCCTAGGAGGTGGAGTGGGATGTGATGGGCTGGAAAGGGGCACTAGGGAACTTTCAGGGGTAGTAGAAATGCTCTATATCTTGACTGGGGTGGTGGATACAAAACTTATCGTTTGTTAATTAACCCTCAAATTAAAAAAATCCACAGTATTTGGAGCTGAGGTTCCCAGCCTCTCAATGGCCGTCTGTCTCCTGGATCAGACATCAGGAGAGGCAGCTGTGATTCGTGCGGCTGTGGCCACACTGCTGATTTCCTCACATCTGCAGGGGCGGCTCCAGCACGTGGCCCATTTTTCATCCCAGCACTTTGCTGGCACTTGGTGAATGCCTATCTCTCCCTGGGCTCTGTCCCGAGACCCACAGCAAACTCTCATCCTTCTTCCCATTGGCACTTCTTCAGCTCCCAAATCCTCTCTGTGTTTTCTCTTCTCCAGGCAAATCCCTGGTTTTTCCAACCATGCTTTACCGGATGTGGTTTCCAAACACTTCTTCCTTATAGTTTCTCTCCTGGATATGTCACAGCTGCCCAAGGCTCATTTCAAGGATTTTTTGAACACTTTTGCTGATGAACTTGACTTATACCTTCAAAGCGATTTGAGAGGAGGTGGACTGTAAACCTTTGTCAAGACCATCAGTTTAAATTTTATTTTTTCAAATAGAGATGAGAAATGAAAATGTGGTGGGAATTCTACAAAGGTCCCTGCAAATGACTGACATACATTTAGGCAGACAACGTCTCTGTGTGACGCTGGGAGGCTGATACATTAATAGATATAATTTGTAGGCTCCCAAGGAGAGGTTAAAGAGGAGAGCACAGGTTCCTTTGAGTCCACTTGGTGCTCCCGTGTCATCTGTCCCCAGACTTAATCAAGTTATCATATCAACCCGGTGTTTCCTGGACCCCAGCTCTCTGTCTGAATGAGGAAAAAATTTGCAGACAAATTTCTAGCAGCAGGAAGTTGGTGCTCTCCTGCGAGGCTGGATAAAAACGACGTGTAACCTCTCAAGGCCTCCCTCCCGCTCCTGCTGGGAGTTCAGTTCAAGTGGTTCCCTTATTTGATTACGCCTCTCAGGCCTTCTCTGGTGTAGGTATCCAGTTCACTGCCGTGCCCACCGGCTCCCCACAAGGCAGAAAACATTAGAGTCACTCTTTTGTGAAATTATTGGGAGGCTGACTGAGCCAAGCACTTTTGTGTGTGTGTGCGCGTATGTGTGTGCATGTATGCCGGTGTGTGAGGAGACACACAGATGTGTATAAAAAGAGGAATACGGTTTGTTAGCAAATGTGGCATTGATTTATAATCATTTGCTTTAGTCACAGAATGACTGAGTGATACCTTAAATTCTCACGATAAAAAAAAAGAGATGGTGGGAAAAAAATCCTTCCTAAGTGCTAAATATATATATAGTTAAGAATAATTATTATTCTATAATAAAATATATATTATTATTATTATTAAGAGCTTGCAAAAGACTTATAGCATGTATGATTTACAATTAATGGACCTAAATCTTCCAATACAGTTTTCTTCCATGACTATGTAATTCAAGTTATGCTGCTAAATATTTTATAATGAGAGTAAAAATTATGATGGTCTTTGTAACTGTTTTCATGGGAGCATTTAGTATTGGGCTGATATTGATGGGTTAGTGGATTTGTGCCTATTCGTCTCTCTTATTCGTTGCTTTATGAGTGTTCAAAAAGTGTGGGAATACATGCTATGAGCTGTGCTCACTCTAGATTGCCTTTTTTCTCTTTTTAGTTTTCTCAAAAATATAAAAGACATACATTTATTTCCCTGCAGAATCACAAAAAAAAAAAAAAAGAAAAGAAACGTTAAAAAATCTTTGCAAGGCAATGTTTTGTATTCTTTTTCAAGCAATGTCAACGTAATCGAGGAAACTAATAGTAACATCTTTTTTTCATCTGCAGGTGCGGAAGGCCTGCTTACAACCCGAGAGGCGCTTTCAGATCGGCCGGAGTCTTCTGCAGCGCGCAGGAGCTAGTCCTGCTGAAAAGAATGAAATTGGACTTGTCCAGGCGAGTTGCGGACAGCGCTGGGCTGGTAAGAAACGGAGTTACCATTCATCTATTCATTCCCAGAGAAAAAGGGAAATACACCCTCCTGAACTCAAGATGCCCATTAATTTATCCCTGTTAGCTGGCAGGACACTCGAGCCCCAGTCTTCGGGCTCGTAAGCGTTTTTATTGAGAGAAGAAGGTCCCTCCCAGGTTCCCACAGGGGCTTGGAAGTCAGGGGAGCCGGGAGGGGTGGCGGGGGCCGGGGCAAGAAGCGGGGCGGCTTTTATTTTGCGCCATAAAGGGCTGCACAATGTCTGCTGGAATTTCAACAGTTAAAGAGACCCCTGTGCACAAAGGGGCGCTCCGGCTGTAATCGGGAAATAAATTTGATTTTCTGAATTCTTTGGCAGCTGGTGACAAAGGGCCAGGTATGGCGACACGGCGGGGGTGATCCTTGCAGAAGGCGGCGCGCGGCGGGGCATGCGGGCCAGGGGGACAAAGGCGGGCGCGCTCGCCGCGCCACAAAGGCAGGGCCGGGCCGGGGGCTCCGCGCTGCCCCTCGTCTGCGCCCAGGGCCGGCGCGGCCGCTGCGGGCGGCGGGGGGCAGAGACACGCCCGCTCCCGAGCGCCCGAGTCCCCGAACCGCCGAGTCCCCGGGACTCTGGCCGCGTGTCGGGCTTTCCCCGCCCAGCCGGGGGTTCCAGCCCTGCTCCCGCGGCTGCCCTCGCTGCTCAGGGGCCGAGGCCAAGAGACTGCCTGAGGGACACTTCGCCCTGTCCCAAACCTGGGACTCCAGGGGCATTCTCATGGGGCCGTGAACAACAGACTTTCAGAGCTTAAATCACGTCGTCAAGAAATGCCCATTAATCCAGCACTTCGGGAGGCCGAGGCGGGTGGATCACGAGGTCAGGAGTTCGAGACCAGCCTGACCAAGATGGTGAACCCCCCCCCCAATCTCTACTAAAAATACAAAAATTAGCTGGGCATGGTGGCAGACACCTGTAATCCCAGGTACTCGGGAGGCTGAGGCAGGAGAATCTCTTGAACCCAGGAAGTGGAAGTTGAGTTAACCTTTTCCCGATTCAGCCTTTTGCTGGGGCTTTCAGGGGGTCATCAGAGATTCCCCTCTCTGTGAGGTTTATCCAGATCCCCATGGCTCAATAAACTGAGTTTGCCCACTTGTGTGTGTTTCTCAGGTTATATGTTGTCATTTAATGTGTCTTACATGCCTGTCCTTCAAGTTCTTCTTTGGCAGAAGTGCATCATCCTTTTAATGACAAAGCAGGTGTTGGGGGGACGGGTTACCCCCGGGAAAATAACGGTATGTACTAGGTCGCTAAGGGCAGAAATTCATCACTCAAAAGCATTAAACTCTGCCCTCCTCGCTCCCAGCCCTACTCTGATCTTCTGGGTGTCTTCACCTCCTCTTCTGGCTCCTGAGTTGGCTGCTGCACCAACACCCATCAGACTCTCCTGGAACAGGAAGTGACAGCTCACCAGGAGCCCAGCAGGCTCCGTGGGCAGAAGCATGGACTTCCTTCTCCTCATGGAGACACTGCTGGGCCATGTTTCCTTGGCACCACTCTGGAACCTTCAGCCAGCCACCACCTCAGACAGTAGCCGGACTTTAGGTCCATTCCTTTCATGTTTAAAATGAGACAGTCCACACTGTTGATTTTCTTTATAGGGGACATCAGGATTCCAGAAAAGCAGACTTGGGAAGCCACAAAATGTTAGCATGCAGCTCACTGAGGCCCTTACACTTGGTCTGGGCAACTCTGTATGTAAAGTCCAATATCTTTAGCTGCTGGTTATAGGTGGCCATATGTTTTGGCCCAGAAATGGGGCTCCCTCGCTAGACTAATTCTTCTGCAGGCTCCATTCATTCACATTCTTCTACTTGACCCTGCCTGTCAGGACCAACAGTACCAAATAAACCAAAGTTTCTTGCCTCCTGTCCTCAGAATCTCTCAGAAGCATCCTCTTCCCTGCTGGAGCCATTTTATTTCAGGTTGAGCCTTAATTAAAATCAGCCAGATGCAGGATCTGTATGTGTGAGTGTGGACCTGTATGTGTGAGTGTGGATCGTGTGAATGTGTGAATGTGGATCTATGTGTATGAGTGTGGACCTGTGTGTGTGTGGACCTATGTGTGTGAATATGGATTGTGAGGATGTGTGTGAGTTTGGATCTGTGTGAGTGTGGATTGTGTGAATGTGGATCTGTGTGTGTGAGTGTGGACCTGTGTGTGTGACTGTGGACCTGTATGTGTAAATGTGGACTGGTGTCTGTGAGTGTGGACCTGTATGTTTGAGTGTCAACCTGTGTGTTTGAGTGCGGATCTGTGTGTGAGTGTGGACCTGTGTGTGTGAATGTGGACCTGTGTGAGTGTGGATCTGTGTGCGTGAATGTGGATCTGTGTGTGAGTGTGAACCTTGTGTGTGAGAATGGGCCTATGTGTGTGAGTGTGGACCTGTGTGTGTGAGTGTGGACCTGTGTGTGTGACTGTGGACCTGTATGTGTAAATGTGGACTGGTGTCTGTGAGTGTGGACCTGTATGTTTGAGTGTCAACCTGTGTGTTTGAGTGCGGATCTGTGTGTGAGTGTGGACCTGTGTGTGTGAATGTGGACCTGTGTGAGTGTGGATCTGTGTGCGTGAATGTGGATCTGTGTGTGAGTGTGGACCTTGTGTGTGAGTATGGACCTATGTGTGTGAGTGTGGACCTGTGTGGGAGTGTGGACCTGTGTGTGTGAATGTGGACCTGTGTGAGTGTGGATCTGTGTGCGTGAATGTGGATCTGTGTGTGAGTGTGGACCTTGTGTGTGAGTATGGACCTATGTGTGTGAGTGTGGACCTGTGTGTGAGTGTGGACCTGTGTGTGTGAGTGTGGACCTGTGTGTGAGTGTGGACCTGTGTGTGTGAGTGTGGACCTGTGTGTGAGTGTGGACCTGTGTGTGTGAGTGTGGACCTGTGTGGGAGTGTGGACCTGTGTGTGTGAGTGTGGACCTGTGTGTGAGTGTGGACCTGTGTGTGTGAGCCTGGTGTTTACGATCAACAGTAAGAAGCCTGGAAATGAGTTCTGATTAAATGAGAATCTAAATAAAGAACAAGTATCCTAGGAATTGTAGCAAGATGAATAATTCTTAACCCAGCACAGTAACAGCAGCTTACAATGTGTGTGTGAATGTGCACCTGTTTGTGTGAGTGTGGTTTTTGTTAATGTGTAATGCTGATATCATAAGGAGAGTTTTGTGCTCACAGGATGTCAGGTACAGAAGGTTCTAAATGCTTTGTTGTGTTACTTATCTATTGCTGCATAACAAATTACCACAAACTTAGTACTTTAAAACAACACATTTATTATTTCACAGTTCCTGTGGGTCAGGAGTCCGGGCACAGTTTGATTCCTCTGTTTTAGATTCTCTTACAATGCTTTAATCCATGGGTCAGTCAGGGCTGGGGTCTCATTTGAAGCTTGGCCGGGGAAGGATCTGCTTCCAAACTCAGATGGTTGTTGACAGAATTTAGTTCCTTGAGGGTTGTTGGCCTGAGGACCTCAGCTTCTTGTGGGCCCTCAGCCAGAGGCCACCGTCAGTTCCTCTCCGGGACCTCTCTCTATGGCAGCTTACTCCATTAAAGCCAGCAAGGGAGACAGCTGACAGTGAGAGCTGGCTAGTGAGATGGGTGTTCAAGTCAGCTGTAATATATTAATATCATGACACTGACATCCACCACCATTGCCGTATTCTGTTGGTTAGAATCAAGTCACAGGCTCTGCTCACACTGGAGGGAAGGGATCCCACGAGAGCATGTACACCAGGAAGCATGGCCCATGGAGCCTCCTGGGAGTCTATCTACTACTATATTCGCTTCACCCACAAATAAACTGAGGTCCCCAGATGGGGGTGTGTCCTGGTCACAATCTCAGTGAGTTAGTTCAGTGGCTAGACTCAGATCTAGGACAATTATTCTAAGTCTTGTGCTCTTTCCTCTGTAACACGCCTCCATAGTTTCAAACATGTGAAGCCTTTGGTTCTGAAAAGCAGGCCATAGTCTCTACCCAGCAGTCTTTGCTGCTCAGGTTAACTGCAACCACAACCACAAAGTCACTGTGGTCCTTCCCTGAGGAATTCAAGGAACCCCTGCACCCTGGGCCCTATAAAACATTACTAAACCAAAATGGTGGAAAAGATCCCTTTTCCAGATCAATTAAATCAGAAAATTTTCAGAACCTCAGGGTTTGCTCGGTCTCCCACTCCCACTCCCTTAACAAGTAATAAAACTGAGGTCTAGAAATGAGAATTGATTTATTCAAGCATGCAGTGATGACACAGCCTCATCCTCTTTCTTTTCTACAAATTTCAAGCAACCGCAGAGAATGGATTGGCTTGCCTAACCTGGCCCAGGGAGGGCTGGCCAGTGGGACATGTGGAGTAAGGACTCAGAGTCCCCCAGGGCCACTCCTGTCCCATCTCTCCCTGCAGCCTGCAGCTTTCAGTCTCCAGCTGACACTGAAACCCCAGGGTCGAAGACCAAAAGGAAAACAATCAAATAAGGAACAGTTCGGATCCCAACAGGCTGAGTTGCCTCTTTCAGGAAAAATCTGCTCAGGTCATGAATTCTGGACATGCAATGGCTGTTTAAATAGTTCATTCCCAAGAGACCTGTCACTGATAGACACGGCTTTGTGTAATACTACCTTAGCGTTGTCTCTGTAATTTCAGTGAGATTACAATTCCCACCTTAAGAGGTGGAAGCGACGTCTGATTGTCCATGAAGAGCGCGTGTGTGTGCATTTGCGTGTGTGTGTGTATTTCTTTTTCTCTGGGTCCAAGTCTTTATCTTGCTAAATCCATTACACCTCTCTGCCTGTCTGCTCTGGAGACAAAAAGTGGCATTTTCTGGCCTCAGGTCACACTGCATTTGGCAAAAAACATTGGCCCAGGAAAGCTATGAACAAAATTTCCTCCTCCATTTGTGCTCTTCTGAAAGAGACCTCTGGCTGTATTCACCATCCACTGTCCTCAGAGAATAACTGAAGGAACAAATGAAACTAGATATAATGAGTTCTGTGCCAGCTCATCTTGAGTTTCAATGAACTTATCTCTCTGCTGGCTTTGAAGAGCTGAAATCACTCCATGTGCTGGGGATAGTTTAGAGAATACGAAGAATTTGATCCTTGGATGGGCTACGTAGTTGTGATCCCAGGCTACTTTTGAGACTTTTTTTCCCCTGGGCTGAAACAGACTTTCTGAAGGCACTCATTTTCAAGAGATGTCAGAAATACCCTTCAGAAAAATAACCATCAAATCATTTGGGAAGAAATAAGAAAAGAGCATTTATATTAGCAATAAGATAATCTCTTCTGGGATTCATAACTAATTTAGTGGAAGTGTTTTTCTTTTAAATAAAATCCATATCAGTATTAGAAGAAGTGGACTGATGTTCAGTGCCGTTTAGGGCCACCAACCTCAGCATTTGCCGAATGCGGGCTCAAGGACTCCGTCTCTTAGCACACACACGCTGCTTCCTGTTTTAGGAGAAGCTTCTACCTCCTCTTTCTGACAGCCTCTTCCTACTCATCTGGCAGAGTCCAGCTGGAATGCCCCCTCTTCCGTGAGGGCTGGTCCTGTTTCCACTTCCCCGGTCTCTCCTCACTGTGCACAGGGGCAGGCACCCTCTTCTTTGGACTTTCACAGCCTCTTCATATAGCCCTATCTAGGTCTTTGCTATATTTGCCCTGGGAGACGGTGATCAACATGATAATAGGGGTTTTGTTTTGTTCATTTTCTTTTTCGTAGGCCTTGGAGGACTCACCCAGCTCATCATGGCACAGGCTTGACGGGCAGATGAACTGGCAAATCACTTTGGGGAAAATCTCTTTGATTGGTACATTTAATTCCTAGTTAACAAATGGCTTACTAACATTCCTGTAATACATGCTGCCAGATAGCTAACACCATTGAAATGATACACAGCTGCTTTGTGCAAAGATGCACTTTACAGAAGATAAAGACTGCCGGGTAGAAATGGAGCATATGAATCACTGCACTCTTGAAAACTGAAAGGAAATTATGTCCCTGGTACTGCACATTGCTAATCCTGTCTTACATTTATTGAGCATTCACAGTATGTCCAGACAATATGCTAAGACTACCATGATGTCTTTTAGAGGTAGGTCCTGTTGTGCTCATTTAACAGATTAGAAAACCAAGGCACAGAGATGAGTTGAGTCACCCTAGTGAGAGAGGCAAGTGTTCAAGCCCGAGCTACCCCACTCTAGAGCACAGGTCATAACCTCTAAAGGAACACAGAAACCTTGTCCAAGGTATACATGGGCCGAAATGCAATTTAACATTTATTGAGTGTCTGTGGCACACTGGTTCTTGCCCTGGCACTGTGAATACGTAAGTGAAAGGATCAGGTCTCTTCCCTTGAAATTTTCTAAGGAGGGATGGGGGTGAGAGCTCAGACAAACACACAATTTATTAGAATGCAAGAGGAAATGCAAGTGTCATAAAGAGGGATGATGTGCTATATGGGTTCTCGGAGGGAGCATGCAACCATCTGGTGGCATGGATCAGGAAAGGCTTCCTGGAGGAGGTGGCATGTTAGGTGAGCCTTGAAGGATGAGACATCTGTGGGAGAGATCCAGAAAGAGGCTATGGAGGAGGGAGTTTTCAGGATGAAGTGGGAGCAGTGGAAAGAAGGATGAGAAGGTAGATGGGGCCAGCACAGGGATGCCAAGGGGTCTGCTTGGGAGGTTGGAGTCAATCTGGTGAGAGAGCCAGGGGCTATTTTAAATTAGCAAGGAGAAGGATGCTGCTGTCCAGAAGGATGAAGCACTCTAGTAGGTCTGAAGTCCCCACAACTAGTGGGAGATGCCTGTGTAAGACTAGTTCCAATGTGTCTCTCCTTTCCAAAGTCTTTATCTTCACTGTTGCTTTGTAACAGTGCTGTAGACCTCCAGCTCCCACATCCTCTCCCCTCCCTGCATTACCTCTACATTTTGATTTGAGAGTTCTATGGAAGTTTCTTCTTACCC